TGGCCACATGGCAGACGGGGTACAGCCTCTTGTCTTCTGTTCCCCTGAACGGTCAACATCTCCCAGCATGTGGTCCTGCCCTCAACTCACTAAAGGGAGATCTTCGGGTAGTGGTTGCTGATGAATGCCGGTGAGTCTGCATTGACTGGTGGTGACCTTAGCAGACAAAACCATGCCGAGTCCTGGTCCTGGGGGTGCGTGAGGCCATTGGTGTGACTGTCACTCACCTCAGGAGGGCCTCCCATCTTTGTGCTGACCCTCAGCTTTCCCAACTGCCATAGACTTTTCCGCCAACGGCTCTTTCCTGAGCACTTGGCCAGAGCAGGCACACCGACGTCTCGCCAGCCCCGGTTCTAAGGCGCGTTCTGGTTGCATTTCTTGTGACAGCCCTGGATTCATTCTCTGGCAGTCTGCAGTCCAGTCCGTAGTCTCTGCCAGGCCCCCCATTCAGAGGCTTCCACTCTTCCTCCCTCGCCCCCTCCTCTGACCAACTTCCATGTGCATGTCAGGCGGTGTGGTAGTGGCACAACTTCATGTCAACTTGAAGATATATGACAGTGTAGGGGTGGACTTCAACCTGTCAGCTGGGTCACGGCATGATGTGCCTCCTTGTGGACATGGCCTTCTCATCATCCTGGGGCGGAGGTCCCCCGAAACCACCCCTTCTCTCTTTGCCTTCATCTTCCTTCTGGTGGGCTACTCTGAGAGCTGTCAGTGCCACCGCCATCGGACCCACGTGACTCTGCACCCACCAGCCTGTGGTCTTCCTGCGCCACTGCGTGTGGCCACGTGAGTCTGAAGGGGGACTTCTGGAGTTGCACTGGCTGGGAGGTTTTCTTGGTGTATGATTGCTTCTCGATAGACAGCTCTTCCTTGCACATAGGTGAGTATCTCTGGATTTGTTTCTCTGGTCCACCCGGCCTGACACAGGTGGGTCTGAAGACCGTGACTTGGACCAGGTGCACCTCAGTTGTCAAAGGGACAGCTTCTGTTTTTGACACTTTCAAGAGGTCCTGTGCACCAGATGGGCTAGGGACAGATTTGTCTCCAGGAGGGGCACCTAACACCTGCCCCTGCACAGAGCCTGGGGGGGGCGCTGCTCTAAGGGGAGGCTCATGGGGGGTGCCGTTCTGCAGAGGCAATGGCTCCACCCCCTTTGTGGTGCCAGGGCTTATCTAGATCGGATATCCGGTGGGCCCCGAGGCTCTGGCAAGACTCCGACACGGCAAACAGGGCTCTGGGAGCATGCACCTGCTTACACACGTGCAGGGGAAGGGTCTGGAGCCTTCCTCACCGCTGCCCTCCGTCCCCCTTCAGCTGACTCAGTGTGGGTGGAGAGAAGTCCGGCTGGTTGTGCTGGCTGACCTTGTCGCCTGCCGCTTGGCTGACTTCCTTTCTCGGCTCTAATCGCTGTCTTGTAGAGCCTTGGAGGATTCCGATGGATAGGACCACGCCATCTGCAAAGAGGGATTGTTTTACATGCTTCTTCCCGATTTGGCTACCTCCCCCCTCCCCCACCCCCTTTAGCCTAATTGCTCCGGAGTGGGATTGCAGCCCAACGTTGAATAGCAGCGCAGAGAGTTGGCATCCCTGTCTCCTTCCTGATCTTAACAAGAGAGGTCTCGATGTCATCTCCCCACCCCACTCCCCAGGCTTTTCACAAATACCCTCTGATGTCCTGAGGGCTTTCCTTTCTACCTCCATCTTCTGGAGTATATCTCATTTGTTTCTCCAAGGGGCCTGCGACCCCCCCAAAGAGTTCAGAAGCCCTGGCCGGAGCCTCCTCTCCTTTCTGGCTCTCTCCGACACCGGGTAAGCCACTAGTGTTCTGATGTAGCACCGCAGCTGCTTTGCAGCTCAAACGGAGAACTCGCCTGCGCAGCTGAGTAGACCAGGCATGCGTGCAGAATGTACAGCCATACAGCCGTGCCTTCACCGACGCAGGGGACCCTGGCTTGGGTGGCACAGGCAGCATGAGGACACTGCTGATGTTGTCGCCGGCGTGGAGAGGGAGAAGCCAGGGGACCTCCGTTACCCTTCTGTACAAGCTGTGGCTGCCGTAACTGAGAACCTCAAATAGGGAGGGTGGCTTCAAACACAGACATTTATCGCCACAGTTCTGGGGGCTAGAAGTCTGAATCCAGTGCGTCACCCTCCATGTTCTGTGCTGTCCAGGGGGTCCCAGCCCCTTTGGGAAAGGAGCCGTGTATATATATAGGTCAGAACATATAGGTCAGAAGCTGTGTGTCCCTCATTTTATCCTCATAACAACCCCTGTGCGAGAGGCAGCCTTCAGATGAGGAAACAAGCCCGGTCAGTGAGCCAGGAAAGTCAGACCAGGATTGCAGCTCTGGCTTCTAGAGCCTCCCCTGTAGCCAGCGCCTGGTCCAGCCGGCCCGCCTGCTGGAGAAACCAGCTGCTCTTAGGGGCTCAAAACTTGGTCCCGCTGCCATGGAGTTGAAATGGACTTGGTGGCATCTAGGGACTGTTCCAGCATCCCTGTAGGGCTGGCAGTAGGCTGGCAGCGTTGCCACACAAAAACAAGTCCTAAACACTAACTAAGTAAACAACAACAAGCCCTCTGCCTGGTGCTGAAGCGAAAGTGACACTAGTTCCAGGTATGCACTTTGGGAAAGGAGACAGGCGGTTTGATTTGCTTAAGCCAGGAGATGGCATCCGGCACTTCTCACCACCTCCCGCCCGAACACTGGAGAACGAGGGTTTGTACACCCTGCAGCACGACACGGGGAGCACCGCGGACGGGGCTGCCAACAACTCTGCCTGTTCATCACACCGCCTTCTCTTCCCCACACCTCACCCCGTCCTGGGGTTCACTGGTCGCAGCGACTCTGACAGCCTGTGACAGCAGGGCGGCGGGAGGACGCCTCTTAGTCTTTGCTGGGCCTCCCGAGAATAAGCCGCAGTCTCGCTGCTCTTCAGTGAACATCGGAGTCGTGGCCTCGGGCAACAAAACTGCAGGGGGCTGATGCACCGCTGGGAGCAGCTGTTGGGCACCATGAGCCGGAACAGTGGCTGGCTGACAGAGATGAAACCGGGTGAAATATTTTTAGCTTAATCAATAACCCGACATGGTGGGTGCGGTAAGGGTTAAGGCCTGTTGCCTTGGGATGGCATCTGCCAAGGTCAGCCAGACTCCGGATGGGGAAGGTCAGAGCCAGCCAGCCAGCCGCTGCTCCGTTCCATCTCATTTCCCTGGGGAGACTGCATAACTCACTCCCTGGGCTAAGCCACCGTCGTGACTTCTTAACCCACTCCCTGGGCGATTCACACTGTAGATCCAGCCAGCCTTTCCTCCTCCAATGATTTCCCTAATTATGGCATTCATTTGCAACTTGCAAGGGCCAAGTCTCTCCATCCCAGGTCCCACTGCAGAGGTGACCATGGTGTGTGGGCTTGAGGGGCCCACCAGGGCCTGGGACGACGATGTCAGCAACTGGACCACTTGTCATTGAAAATGCTTGTGGGTAAGGTGGACAGTTTAGAGAGAACCTAAACTTGAGTGATATGGTCAACTTTCTTCTAAGTTTTACAAGCAAGCATCCGTTCTAGCCCCCGTTTCCCACGGCCTCTGTTGTCCACAGGGTTACTAGCTCTAGAGCCCACCTTTCACTCGGCGGGACCCCCTATGACAGAATGTTCCAGACTTTCATCTTTACAGCAACACACTGCCAAGTCTGTCTCCCTCGGAACCACTGGGTAGCTTGGGTCTGGCAGCTGGTTGCCCCCAGCAGGGCTCTTTCCTGTGGGAGAAAGGCCTGGCCATTTGCAGCTGCAGGGTCTTCGTTCTCTGCCACGGGAGCCACTGGGAGTCAGGATCGATCCCACGGCACCTGGCAGCACTGTGGGCTGTCTGCTCTGATGCTACGCTGTCGCTGGGCACTCACCACCCTAACTGTCAGGAATCCCTTTGGGAGCAGGGAAACTGAGGCTGGGGAGGGTCAGAGTCAGGCTCGAGCCCCACACCACTGTCCCAGGGCACCGGACTTGGGTGGAGAGAGGAAGAGCCCAGCATCAACAGCACAGTGTCTGTCAAAGGTACAGGTATGGTGCCCCTCGGGGAATCAGGGACCATGAGGACAAGGAATGTCACCTCAGGGCAGCACCCTTGGCCAGGACCTTGGAGCAGGAACACCTATGGGCTGAGTCAGGTGGGCCAGGCCCAGCTGCAGCAGGAACTCCCCTCCCTGGCCCTGTGCCTCCTGCCATGGCAGAGATGGAGAGGTAGGAATAGTGTCTGGGCAGGTCAAATGAGAATCATTACACTCAGGACAGAGCACAGGGGGCATCTAGGGCAGGTGGACTGAGAGAGGTGGCTGGTGAGTGCCTCCTGCCCCAAGGTCCAGCAACCTGTGCCAAGAAGGCCTCATCTTTGACAGAGTGGTATGGTGGTCCAGGGCAAGGGTGGGGGTGGCGCAGTCCACTTGTTCTGTTGGTGTGGAATCAGCAAGTGTCCTGGTGCCACCTTCTGGGTCTCAGTGGGCCATGACCAGGCCTGGGCAGCTGTGGCCACTGCTCTGGTAATAAGAATGCATCTGATTGGTACCAACGATGCTCACTGGGCCCTCCGGACCTCAGCCCACCAGGCTGGGGAGTCACAACACAGGTGGGCACCGTCCACATGTCAACCACACCCGCAGCTGTGCCCGGATCACCACCCGCACAGCAGGGAGTCCGAGAGGTGGCCGCACACCTCCTCGCCTTTTCTGGACAGATGAGAGGAAAGATCACTCTGCTGAGCTTTCCAGGGAATGAAAGCAAAGAGCTGCTTAGCAGACAGAGGCCCCTGTTCCCGCCCAGAGGCAGACAGTGCCACCTGCAGGTTGTCACTGTCTTTCCTCGGTCACCCAGCGGCCCTGGCCTCGTTGGGAGGGGATGCAGTTGGCCATGGGCAGCACAGGGGGGGCAGGAGGTGCTGCCAGTCTCCTGCTGCCTGCTTGGAGCTAGCTCACATGACGTCTGTCTGCCCGTTGTGTTTTCAGGAATCTGGGAAAGTCCGGCCTGCGGGTCTCCTGCCTCGGCCTTGGTGAGTAGGGGCTGTCCAGAAGACCTCCCTTGGGAAGCATGGGCTTTGGGAGGGCTAGAGGAGGCTGCCCACACCCCTCGGAGAGATAGGGTGACCACAGGACCCAGAGGCCAGGATTCGGGGGGTGGGGGACTTAGTTGCCAGGGCAACCAGGAGGCAGGTACCAGGGAGCCTGTGCTTGGTTACTGAAGCAACAGATGGAAGATGGGGCAAAGACAGGAGTGCCAAGGGCTCTCTCCACAGACCGCCCTCTCTCCTGCCCCTGCCAACACCCTCTCCACAGGACCACCCTCCTTGGGGGCTTTCCTCCACAGCAGAGTGGGCTTCACGGAAGAAACCCGCTCACTAAGAGCAGTCAGCCTGGCCTGGCCCTCTTTCTCTAGGCACTGCCCCAGAACATGCCGCCCTCCCCGCTGCACACACACCCAGCACCACCCACACACACCGCCCCCTGCCCCAGCACACCAGCTGCCCCAATAACTCCCCTCCATGTCAGCACAGCCCCAGAGCCTGCACCCAGCTTCCTCTGCAGGCTGGGGTCCCAAGAGAACAGGGCTGGGCCCCAACGCCAGGCCAAGCCCACCACAGAGGCAGGCAGGGTAGTGAGGTGTCTGGGGTCCCCCCTCCCCCAAGTCCCTGCAGCACCGCAGGGGTGAGTCAGCCCCAGAGGGAGGTTCTCTCACTGAGGACTCTGTGTCTCTTCCAGGAACATGGGTGACCTTCGGGGGCCAGATCACAGACGAGGTAAGACAGGCCCCACCTTGCCACCAAGTTGGGCAGGCTGCCAGGTCTGACCCTGGCTGACCCAGGGCTCCCTCATCTGCTGCCCCAGTCTAGGGCCAGCCGCCCAGCCCCCTTAATGTGCTCTGGTCAGCTGCCCTAGGCGGTGATCCTGAGCTGTGGGAACTGCCTGACTCCCCCTCCACTGCTTCACCACTGGCACAGCTGGAGAGTGAGCATGAGGCAGTGGCCAGCAGAGACACCAAGCCCAGCTCCCCTTGACAGCTGCACCCTGGGCCCTCATCACATTCTGGAAGCACCCAGAATCTCAGGCTCCTCAGCTGCATGGCCCCCCGCCCCCCGCTCCGGTGAGCTGTGGGAATTCTGTGAATGCCCATGTTTTCCCAAAACCTGAAGCCTGGAGCCAACACAAGCTGCTTCCACAGCGCACACCTGAGTCTGAATGTCAGCGCCATAAATACCTGTTGATTACAACCACTTGCCAACAAGATGCTGCCACCCTGGCAGGTCCCACGCGTGTGGGAGAAGCGCTGTGCTCCCTGGGGGGGTCTCAGCAGATGGTTTTCCAGAAGTACGACGCCAGCCTTTTCCAAGAGCTCTGGGTGGACTCGAAC